AGTATTTTAGTTTTTTTCTCGGGGGGTTGGAGTTGATGAGTTTTTTGGCTGCATGGCGTCAGAAAGGTATGTTTGGTTAAAAATTACTGTCCGACTTTTAGGGCCAAAAGTCCGGCTTTTTGGAGCGCCCAGTCCGGCTTTTTTATTTTAGGAGATGGTAACCCTAGGTCCATAGCGACGCGCATGAATTTTGAATCTTAATCTAACACAGATGCAGGTCTACATAGACCAGAAAATTCACTTACCATTAAGTGGACTATGTTACTCCTTTATCAACTTTATATTTAAAAAATGGCAAGTAATAAATTTGCTCGAACAAAACAATTGTTGGCAACCCTAAAAGTGATATCAATGATTACGATAAGAATGTTAATGAAGCAAGGTCAAACAATTCAGTGTAAACTTTTATTTATGAAGAATAGATATATTTTTCGGCACGAACCTTCAGAAAGTTACTAAATTGAATGCAATTTTTTTCCGATAACAAATTAGTCAAACAACCGTTCCTTATAACATGATTGTAGTAGATTTTGACCACCTTGGCGACAATATCTGAATATATTATTAATTTTATAATATTTTTTTGAGTCCGATTTACTCAGAACTGCCTCGTGGATCTAGTGGTCGTTAGCGCGACTGCAGTTCATGTGGTCCCTGGTTCGAATCCCGGTAGGGCCAAAGCCAGTTATTGGGTTTTTTTTTCTCAAAAAATTCTTAAGAGCCAGCAAGTTGGCGGTGTTACAACCTCGTGCCTCGGAAAGTACGTAAGCCGTTGCTCTGCTTATTCTGTTTCGGTTTGCCGTCCCATCGCACTATGAGAGTGATCCCTCCTCTACACTTCTCTTACTAACTAGTAACTTTGATGAAGTGCTCGTCTAAGTAGATCGCAGTCCGAAGAACGTGACCACACACTCGTGCTACTTCGAGAAGAGCACAGTCGTCTTGAGTCTCCCGCATTATTAACATGAATAACGTTCAAGAGGCAGCTGCTATAGGTACCTAATTGTATGAACAGTAGGATGTCAATGCGTTAACTAAATAAATAATTATGTAGAAAGCTATATATTTAATATTCATGTATAAAAAATAAATATTCATATCTGGCGTAAGCCGTACAGTGTAGTGAGCCGCTTCGTGTAACTTCGCGGTACGTCGCGAAGTCTTTTACTCGCGCAAAAAACCGATAGTGATTAACAAGCCGCTCGAGGCGAAGCGAGGTTGCAAGAAGCGAATCGAAGAACCTCTCTACACTATTCGCCTCGTCCAAATTCGATCTACCTCGCGAGTAGTGTAGAGGAGGCATGAAGGAATCGAGAATGCACCTGTGCTTGCACACACATCTTGTACACTATACTGTCCCGCGCTAATGACTAGTCTCTGTTGAACCTGGCTGCGGTGATCGAAATTCAGTCCGATGCATATTTTTATTATTATCTTAAAACTTGCAGAAATATTCTTAGTTTATGGATATAATTTAAATAATTGCAGGATCCCAAATAACAGTAGCATCAAGCCACCCTATTGAAATCAGGATGAATATAATTCCAAGCACCACGCGAGTCATCCATAGTTCATCATTACAGCCCTTCACAAGTCCAATGCTGAACATAGGCGTCCCCCAAGGAATGCCACAAAGCACGATCCTGAGCCACCTGCATCCATCGACATCCTGCATGTCTTACCAGGTCGTCACTCCGTCTTCATGATCTGATCTGATACATGAGTTATACGTATATATTTTTTACGTGGTAGAGACATGCTGCACCTATATTAATAGTATAGTTGTAGCACGAATGGGTCCGCTCGACCAGGGAAAGACCACGCTCTCACAGAATACCAGCGTAAAATAGCAGCTTAATGCTGCTGTGTTTCGTATGGTGAGTGTAGAGAACCGGAGATCCATTTTACTGGAAAAGAGGCATTATATCTTAGTCCTCACGGCTGACAATGCATCGGCATTTTAATTCGCAAACGAAGATAGATGTAGATGTCTATGGGCCACAGTAACCACTTACCATGAGGTGGACTGTGTGCAGGTTTGTTACCCTTACTTGTTAACCAAGCATATCTCCGCAAGATTTTAAGATATTAATAAAAATGTCCGTCACACCAAAATTCGGTCACCGCGGCCAGTCTCAACCGCGGTCAGTATAGTACGCAAGTATGTGTGTGTGTGTGTACGCTTGCACTCTCTATTTCTTCAATCTCGACAACAACACAACCTGCCGGGTACAATTATGAACCTAAACCATTCTCTAATCAACTTAATCACACACAAATCACAATCACAATTTCATCAAAATCAATCCAGCCGTTTAGGAGTTCAGTTACATCACACGGACAGATGACTTATATATGTATACGTATGTACGACAGAAGAATTATATATATACGAGTATGTATAATGATTAGAATAGTATAATATATAATATGCATGTTTTATACATATAACCCTTCCTCTTGAATGATTATGTCCATTAAATATCAAACCGATCTAAGCGTACAGACGGCGGGAAGCGACTTTGTTTTATAGTATGTAGAGAAGAGATGTAATAAATGAAACTTACCTTTGTACGCGTAAAGGCCTTGACCGGTCTTGTATTCTTTACGCCAAATTATAACATCTTCCGCCTCCATGAACGGCACCCAGCCGTCTATTGACTTCTCTGCGGGATGACCATCTTTGCAGCTGTGACAGCACCAAAATATAAATAAGCAACATATCCTGGACTGGTGGTCACTGTTTAAAAACTATATAGCTTCGAAGCGAAACAACGTCGACAGCACAATTATGACTGATGACATGACTTAAATAAGTTAAAGTTACAGCCTATATACATTACGTCCCACTGCTGGTCACAGTCCTTCTCTCATTTGTGAGAGGGTTTTAGGGAGAGGAAGTGTCGGCCGAGCTGTCCCCATGCGTGTTGGCGAACTTCACATTCTCCGACATATATTTTTCTTTATTTCTCAGAAATGCAGGTTTCCTCACGATGTTTTCCATCACCGCCGAACACGTGGTAAATCAACACTTAAAATTTCAAATAACAATTTCATTGGTGCCGGCGGAGATCGAACCCGGGATATTCGCGTACTGTGAAACTTACAGCGAGCGCTAAACATCGGAGCTACCACGGCTCTCTACTTAAATACGTCCCACTTTTGGCATTGGCTTTAACCTCTTTTCTGAGAGCATTATGGAGCACTCTATCCTTGAAAGATAGTTGAAGTCCTTCAAAAGCTGATCAATTACAGCGTGGAGTGGAGCAGAAGTACTGAAGCTCATGATCACTCAACAAGCTATAAAGAAGGTTATGCTCAGAGTATATCTACATGATACGACTACCTACATATTGGAGATATTCACAGTGGAACCAGAAAAACCAACATAACCCAAAGAATCAGTAATTTTAATTAGCAATGGGCCGGCAATTTTTTTTAATACAGATTAAGGGCGACAAACGAGCACACATTCCACCTGATGGTAAGTGAATGTTGTGGCCTGTAGACATCTAAATCTATCGTCGATTACGAATCAAAATGCAGATGCCTTGTTATCCCCGAGGACCGAGACGGAATTACCTTGTTTCCAGTTAAAGGTGTATCCGATCATCTACACTACGATATACGAAATACAGCAGCATTAAGCTGCTATTTTATGTTACCCCGGTCGAGCCAACCATAACATAGCTACGGCATGGCTCTACCAAGGAAAAAAACCAACAGAGAAAAAATATACTCTAGTAGCAGCTTCGTTACGGGTTAGTGAAGCGTGTAGTGGTAAGTCTTTACTACATGTAAACTATGCAGGAAGTTGATGAAGGTAGAAGAAGTGTTCGTGAATGTTCAGAAGTGCACTAGTGATGATGATGACGATAAAACGATGACGATGATGAAAATGACCATGATGATGAAGATGACCATGGTGATGACGATGATGACGAATACCATGACAATGACAATGACGATTATGATGACGATGATGACGATGACCATGATGACGATAACGATCATGACGATGACGATGGTGACAACGACCGTGACGACGACGATGACGATGAGAACGATGACAAAGACGATTATGATCATAATGATGACGATGATCATGATGACGAATACGATCATGACAATGACGATGGTGACAACGACCATGACGATGACGATCACGATGACGATGAAAATGACGATGAGGACGATGAAAAAGACGATTATGATCATAATGATGATGATGACCATGATGACGATAACGATCATGACGATGACGATGGTGACAACGACCGTGACGATGACGATGACGATGAGCACGATGACAAAGACGTATATGAAAATAATGATGACGATGACTATGATGACGAATACGATCATGACGATGACGATGGTGACAACGACCATGACGATGAGGACGGTTACAAAGACAATTATGATCATAATGATGATGATGACCATGATGAAGAAAACGATCATGACGATGAAGATGGCGACAACGACCGTGACGATGACGATGACGATGAGGACGATGACAATGACGATAATGATCATAATGATGACGATGAACATGATGACGATAACGATCATGACGATGACGATGGTGACAACGACCATGACGATGAGGACGATGACAAAGACGATTATGATCATAATGATGATGATGACCATGATGAAGAAAACGATCATGACGATGACGATGACGACAACGACCATGACGATGACGATGACGATGACGATGATAATGACGATGACTATGACGATAATGGCCTGCAGAACCGGTTCTGTTTAGATAACAAAAGAACCGGCGCATGCTAATCAGTAATCACAGCTCTATTACATACACATACAAGAAATATCTTAAGAAAGTAAGTAAGCGGTATAACCGTCTCGTATACACCAGACGTAAAATACCCAGACCGACGACGGGGAGCAGCGTCAAGCGTGCTCACGTCAGGTTCTGCAATTGTTAATCCGCTAACGGTTAGCGGATCGACAATTGCACAACCTGACGTTTAGCAGCTAACTAGGCGTAAAGAATATGACAAAACCTGTCTACAACCGTTGAAGTGCATATCCAACAGTGGATTTTTACAAGCTAATGAAAAAGAAGAAGATACGTACTCACAGTACTGCACGGTGGCCTGCTTTTTGTCTATCACCAGCCGTTTCCCGCAGCGCTTGCACTGAATCGTCGACTTTAACAGATTCTTCGCTGTATCGAGTTCCGTCAGCAGCCCCTGCAGAATATTTCTTTTTATAAAATTTGACAAGGTTTGAAAATTACAAACGAACCAACCTATAACCAGCTTCTGCTGCCCACACTTGCAGCAATGTTGCATTGATTTATAAAAACTAGCTCCATCAATTAGAACTAATATTAACTATGATGTGCAGAATGCCGGCTTATTTTTACGTTTTACAGTAACTGAAGTGCCTGAAAACCCCCTTTTTCTACAGACTTCAAAAAGGAGGAGGTACTCAATTCGACTATATTTTTTTTATGTATGTTACCTCATAACTTTTTCTGGGTGAACCGATTTCGATGATTCTTTTTTTATTTGAAAGCTGAGGCTTCTCATGTGGTCCCATATAAATTTGATCAAAGTCTAACCAATAGCTTTTGAGTTATTCTTAATAATTTATATTGAAGTTGGTTGTACAAACTTTTTAATTATTAAAACAAAATATTAGTTAACTATTTATGAACATTTAAATAATTTTCCAAAATTAACATTTACTTTAGTATCGTAGAAGTTTAATGTAATGAAGTAACAATTATCAATATTAATAAAATAAGTTTGGTGTGAATGAGTACATTTTTTTATTCGAAATGAGATAACATACAACATTGTTTGCAATATATTTTAAGTGAATATACATATCTTTAAATTTGCTTCAATAGTGGGAGACAATTTGGAAAACTGACAATAACAAAATCGAGGTATACAGTAATGTGTTGCAGCTGCCTGTCTATCATCTACATCCAACATTTAATTACACCACTCCACAGCTAAAGGATCAACGAATTTGTAACATTGAGTGAGGACTATGACGCATCGCGCGTGACGGTGGGGGGAGCGCTGTCATTCTGAGGTTGTATCGTTACGTACACATATTCACTTAAAACACACAGCTATGTCCACGACACACCCACACCCCGATTTTTTATAGAATAAGCGTGACAAACGAGAACAAATCAGTTCCGCACAGTCAGATCAGCTGTACTAATTCACTGTGGTACATAGCAGATTATTTCAGGACCACTTTAGTGGCAGTTTGTCCCATCCTTAAGCAGTAACATATATAAATAGTTTTACAAAATTACTAAACCAAGTAATTATACAATAAATGTAATAGACAAAAATACCATACCTTAACATCTGTAATCTTTTAATTTTCTTTTAATATTATATTAAGAAATGTTATCTCAACACTAGGATTTTCTCCTGTATCGTATAGACAATTTGTTTTAATAGTATAAGGGTTTACAAACATAAATTGCATGAGGACAAACATCCTGCAATGAACAAGTATTTGTTCCGTGTGGGATTCAAACCTGCAACCTCCAGCGCAACAACTCATTGCTAAGCCACTGCACACGGAACCGTCTAATGGATATAAAACCAAAAAGTTTATTTTCCATGTTGTACAAGTAAAACCGTGAGGCGTGAGCCGTGGTAGCTCAGATGGTTAGCCCTGGCTTTAAATTTCACAATACATGAGCAACCCGGGTTCAAACCCCCGGCACAAATGAAATTATTAATTGCAATTTTATGTGCTGATTTACCAAGTGCTCGGCGGTGAATGAAAACATCGTGAGGAAAACTGCATGTCTGAGAAATAAGAAAAAAAATTCGAAGACATGTGAAGTTCGCTAACGCGCATTGGGGCTGTGCGGCGGATATTTCCTTCCCCTAAAACCCTCTCAGAAATTAGAGGAGTTTCAGTAATTAGAGGAGGCCTGTGCTCAGCAGTGGGGCTTATATAGGCTGTAACTTTAACTTTTTTAACTTTAACAACTAAAAGCCTGTCCAGCATGTCAATTATGGTAAATATCCCCCCGCCCCCCCTTTGGAGGCAATGATATATCCCTATGTTCAGTAGTGTACAACTAAATGTAATAAAAGCTTAAGCTTATTTCATTAACCGACCTCAAAAAGGGGGAGGTTCTCAATTCAAGTGTATGTTTTTTTTGTATGTATGTTACGCAATATCTTCGCAGATTGTGAACCAATTTTGATGATTCTTTTTTTATTGAATAGGTTATACTACAAGGGTGGTCCCATATAAATTTGCAGAAAAAATTCCACCCCTAAGGGTGACAAGTAAATAACTTCCTTTTTAGCAATTAGAAGGTATTTTGCTTTTTGTGGTATAAGGGTGACAAGCGAGCACACAGTCCACCTGATGTTAAGTGGTTGCTGGGGCCCATAGACATCTACATTTATCCTTGTTTGCGATTCAATCTAACTTCGATTACGAATCAAAATGCAGATACGATGTCAGCCGTGAGGACTAAGATGGAACACCTCTTTTTCTGTAAAAAGAGTCTCAGATTCTCTACAGTGACCATACGAAACACAGCAGCACTAAGCTGCTATTTTACGTTGGTATTCTGCGTGAGCGTGGTCCTTCCCCGGTCGAGCCTACCCATTCAACAGATGCTTTGTCACCTCTGGGTACTAAGACAGAATGCCTTACAGTGTGTTATTATACTGGCTGTATTAGCATCATGAATAGGTCAGAGGATGGTACAGATCCAGACGGAGTACAAGACAGACTGAAAAGCAGCCCACCACCTAAAGTAGGTACATTTCTTCTTATTTAATCTATACATATAATAAAAATGTAAATAGCCGATGTCTGTACATTTTAGATTTATATAATAAAAGTGATTGAGTGGTACTAAAAATAAGTAATTAAATACATTTCTACCATTTTTAGAATTTTCTGTCTGTCTGTCTGTCTGTCTGTCTGTCTGTTTGTTTGTTAACGTATCACGTATAAAGTACCAATTTATATCAGAAGAATCGTTAAAGAATTTATAAAGTGTATCTTCAGGTTACATTTAGTCTTTATTTCATTAAAATTAGTTCATTCCATCAAAAGTTATGATAAATATTCTGAAGTATGGCTACAAAGTATAGGTACGAATTTGTTCAATGGTGGCGTTTGTTGAGTCATCAAGTACATTTTAAACTAATATCATATTATAACTCATAACATAATTAAATGATGTAAAATAATGTTCTATAATGATGAAATTATATCTAAAACGCAGTAAACAAAAGTATTGCATAAAGAACGTAATAAATATATTAAAAAATATATTAACCTTATTATCTAAATCTAAAGTACAATAGTTAACCCATTTCATCGATAGATGGTGGTGTTGCACAAATGTCATGCAAGAAGGCAGGTTGTGGTTTTTTTTCTGTAAATGACTTTTCATATTTGCTGTTAATCTTTAAATTACTCGCTGCCCTACTGTGTATTGACAATGTCATTTATTCTTTACCGCCGAGTACTCTACATGGTAAATCAAATTTTAAAAGAGCTATTAACAATTTCGTTGGTTTCGGCGAAGATCAAACTTTCTTTCTTACTTACGATGTAGGCCGGATTTATAAGTTCTTTTAAGTGTTTTTATTGTATCAATCGCGTCAATTAATCTCTTTTATTTTTAGAATTGATTTTAATAGCGCCATCTATCCTTATATCTCTATACATGCGGTAATCACATGCTGTGTCTGATTCTGTACATTGTATAGTATATTAATTTGTGACTAAAATCATTATGGAGACTGAAACTCATTAAATAAGTACATTTTTATAATTTTTAGAATTGTCTGTCTGTCTGTTTGTTTATGAACGCATCACGTCTTAAGTAAACATCTTTTTTTCAAAGAAATTGTTTAGAAAATCATAAAGCGTATCACCCAGTTCAAAGATTAACTTTGTTTTATTAAAATTGGTTAATTCTATCGAAAGTTTTGATTATTATTTTGAAATGTAGGTTCGATTTGTTTAAAGGCGCCATAAAACCTCAGAAATAGTAATAAAATGATTCCTTTTTATAAAAAAAACGTTTTATTATAATATATTTATACTTTAAACACAGTAAACAAAAAATATGTTTTCCTTAAATTAAAAAAGGATGTCTTCCACGAAGAACGTAATAGATGGCGTTGTACATTAACGAGTCCATTCAAGCTGAAAGAGCCGTGTAGGTGTAGGGTGTAAGCTAACAGCACAAACATCATCAAAAACAGATATCAGAAAAAAGATACGTACGCCCAAGCTAAACGTAGCAAAATTGCATCAAAAACAATATGTCATGATGTTGTTTTATACCAAGAATCCACCTTATATCAAATAACTTTCCTTTCAGTTCTAAGCGTGTTCTGTTCCCACTTCCCATTCCCAGTCAGCGTGTGTTATGCGATGACCGATGACCGTAAATAAAGCGCAAGGTCAAACTTTACGCGTTGCAGGAGTGGACCTCAGTACTGACTGTTTTGCACATGGCCAACTCTATGTTGCTTTTTCCCGCGTTAGTAGCTCCCGTAACATTTTTCTGTACGCCCCGGCTGTCTACTTCTAACGTCGTTTACACAGAAGTTCTATCACAAACGACTCAGAACTTTGAGCATAACGATTTATTTTGGTGCCACTTATTCATACAGTAATGATATAAATCGTTTAATATTCTCTTGCCTAAACGTCAAATTCTTTAAGTAAAACCTATATACGCGAGCTACGCCGCGGGCACAGCTAGTTTATAATAACATTATAAATATTCCTAGTCTAATACAAAGATGTCAAAATGATTTCTTACATATATGCAAATATTACACAATTAAATTAAACTATATTTTACGGATTTTATCGCATATATAAAGTTATGTTATATTCCTGACATTTCAAGCACTTTACAACACCTATGGTCACAGGGGGGACTGAGGTGTTCGACGTCCCAATGTCTTTTTCTTCTTCCTTTATGGCGGTTACGATGAATTCGCCAATGACATGTTACATGTGAGAAGGTTTAATTGGGACACAAACTCTGCTTAAAAAAAGAAATTGATAATACAAGAAATGGTAACAAACGAATATTATGTTTTTTTTTTTTTTATAGGGGCAAACGAGCATGCGGCTCACCTGATGGTAAGTGACTACCGCCGCCCATGAACAACCGCAACACCAGGGGAATTGCAGATGCGTTGCCGGCCTTTTA